ATAACATAGATATCAACAGATAGATAGATATATAGATAGATAGATGAATTGATTTTAATAGATAGATAGATAGATAGATAGATAGATAGATAGATAGATAGATGAATTGATTTTAATAGATAGATATATAGATAGATAGATAGATATGAACAGACTGAAACAATTACATACATACATAGATATCAACAGATAGATAGATAAATAGAGATAGATAATAGATAAATAAAACCTAATATCACACACATTGTACATAGATAAAGATCTTTGTAATGTGTAAGATTTATTTGCGAGTACAATTTTTGTAATTCTTTAAGTGGTATGGGCTACCAGGAATCCCTTAAATGACTTCAACCTTTTCCAATCAATCCGAGTGCTCCAACTACAACTGGAATTATCGATGTTCTCATTTGCCACATTTTTGAGATTTCCACTTCAAGATCCTTGTATATTGATAGTTGTTGGAGATCTTCAATGATACCTTACAATCTTCAGGGAATGCCATGTCAATAAGAAAACCCATTCTGTTTTTGTGGTCTTTTATCACGATGTCTGGGTGATTAGCTTCGATTGTTTTGTCTGTGTGTATTGTAATGTTATATGAAATAGTTACAGGTTCTATTTCTGTAACCGGGACTGAGTGATGTTCATACCAGTTTCTTGCAGTTTCCTTCCTATATATATTTTCCAGTGCAGCTATTGGCCCACTATATTATGACAAGATTTATATTCATTGGGTGCTAACACTGTGCAACCTGATACAAGATGTTCAATTATGTCTGGATATTTATCACAGAATTTGCATTTCGGGTTGACACTATTTTTCAGTATGGGTGCTTGATGATTTCTAGTTAGTAAGCATTACTCCTGTGCAGCAAGAATAAAATCTTTGGTTTCAGCTTTTAACCCTGCACTACGTAAACATTGATGGGTATGGTATTTGTTTTCATCAACTTGTTTGGTTCGAGGAAGAGTAGTGACCATGAAGAGGATTATTTTGCCATTTCTGCATTTAGTACATTGCATTTGCTTTTGCTTTCTTTTTTAGGTTCTTTGCCGCTGCAGTAGATGTATTAAGTTTTATTTGCACTTCTTCACACACTTGAAATTCCTTTTTGAATTGGTTGGCTTCCTTTATTACTGAATAAAGCTTCTTATTTCTTTCATATTCTTTCACACAACATCATCCAGCCTTCTATAGTTTCCAGGTACCTTTGAAGACCGATTGTTGCAGTTTTGTAAGACAGTTCTAGTTGAACTAATTCTCTTCCTCCTTCGGATCTGGACACATATGAACATCAGCGTTAGAATGATACATGCGGTGGGAAGTGAGTTTACTCGTTTTGGCATCCATTCGCTTAATGTCAGCTATGGTTCAATTAAGGATGTTGAAACTGTATTGCACCAAAGGGACAGCAAAAGTGTTTATGGCTGGTAATATGTTTTTTTTCTTCTTCTCTTGAACAGTTTATCGTATTTCACCGGAGATCTTGCGTTATGGTTTTACTTCATCAAGTCGTCTGACCTCAAGCAGTAACAATCACATAACAAACTTCTGAAGCAATGGTATACTGGGCTTTATTCCGATTTCTTTATTGTAGGACTTTATGTTCGGTGGTGTAGGCCCCGAAGCCTAAATGATAACTGGGACAATAAAGACTTGAACGGATCCCATTCTGGCAATGTCAATCCGGAGATTGGTGTATCTCTTAAGCTTCTCAATTTCTTTGACTTTCATATTATGGTCACCCATCAAACAGCGACATCGACGAGGAGGCATTTTCTTAGTTCTTTGTTTTGTTTATCTTTCAGGTGTCTCTTTCTGATTCTAAGTACAAGTATCCTTTTTGTTCCCATTTTCCTTAAAACTTCCACGTTACTCTCATATTCCACGATAATTTCAGCATCCTTCTGTAGGACATTTATCTTGCCACCAATCTCTTTCTTCATCTGTGAGGAGATTGTCCTCATTCACTGCCATGGAGACGATATTACATAAAGGTTTAGCGCTCTTTTCTTTGTTCTTAACGAAATTTCCTTGATTCTTAATACTTTGTTTCGCTTTTGGAAGGCATCTTTCGCTATTCCAATGTGCCTTCAGATTTCCATGTCACGCTTTCTGTCCTCTGCTAGTCCTCGTTAGTTCAATTTCTGTCCTTGGACGTCTCAAATCTTGGGCTATCTCTTTTGATAACGACTATACATTTTATCTTCTTACAAGCGATAGTCCTTTCTTCCTGCTTTCTTTTATTACTTTGTACAATAGTTTTCTTTCTGGGTCTGCCATCAATTAGTTTTTTTTTGTTACTACTAGAAGTCCTACTAGGATTTATTAGTGGTGGAAGCTACCAATAATAAATCCTGGTAGGACTTCTAGTTCCATTAACATCGCCTGACTGTATATGTTGGAAACGGCGAGAAGATGCATATTTGTATTATGCCATTTTCTATTATTGCGTACTTTCTCTATCCGTATACAGACTGTTTGTTCCCAGTAAATGTT